AACTCAAGGAAGGGATGAGGACTGTGCTAGGGCATGAATTAAAAGTCCAGTTCTTAACAAGGTCACAAGTATGACAGCAACAGAGCACAGTCAGCCTGGATTAGGTCATCAGGTCCCTACACACAACAGACAGTCTTACATGAAGCACGAGATACATTTCTGCAAGTCAGTAAAACAAAAGTCACAGAATGGTTTCATCTCAGAGATGACATTCCCCACGGTGTAAGAAATCATCTGAAATATTCTCACCAAAGTTACGGTGCAGCTGTACTTGTAGGAAGGGAATATGTCTGGTTTGACCTCCACTACTTTAACCTGAGATGCTCTGCTGGTCAAAGCACTGTGAAGTTGCTAGAGATTGAAAGCAGAAAAAACAACACCCATGAGACACCTACTACTGAACACACACTCCCTGTAAGCAATACCTATTAGCATTTTTTTACCCCCAAGAATCAACTAAAGTTTATTTAATGTCAGAGGACTACAACACACTGTTATGTATACTGAGGCACTACAATCCAAACAAAAATATTCCAGCATCTTGGCATACTCAGTTATATTTCACAGCTGAAAGACTCAATATTCAGTGTTGCATGTCCAATTACCAAAGCACTAGGAGATCCTCACAACATCTTCTGGAGGTAGCTGGGAGGTTCTCAAAGCAGCCAACAGAAGGACTGTCCAACAGCAGCTCTCAGTTCAGTTCCTACACTCAACCATGTACCATTCATGCTGCTTCTGAGCCATCTCATAAAAACTGTCAGTCACAGATCTCACCATTATAAGGCTGCTTCATGTTTATATTATTTTTCTCACCACTCGGGTGATACCTCTAATCTATGAAAAAAAAACCAAAAACCCACAGGAAAATAATATGCATTGGAAGCACAAACCATACGTACCTTTCTCTCCTCAATGTTTGGTGGCTGCAGAACTGACTGGCCCAATTGTTTCAGTGTACTGGGCTTCAAGCCTGAAGTTCTCACAGGGGAATTCTTGTCTTCAAGGAAGAAAAGGATGTAGCAGGTTAGATATGAGAAAACATCAGAATTATGTAAGATTTCTCCTCTGAACTTGACATGACCCAAACACCAAGCAGGTGTTTCACGGCCCATTTACTGCACTCTCAGTTTTGTCTAGTGTAGGTCACTGCCTCTCTTCAGACATATCTCACTATTTGACAGACCACTTCATCAGTGAGAAAAGACACCCAAACCATACCAGAGATTTCTGCTTTTACCAGTATTGACAAAGGCCTGTCTGTTGCTGGGCTGCTCCGTGCTGGTTTCTCTGCCCACACTGGCTGGCGCGGGCAGAATGGCCCGCATGGGTCTGGCTGCAGCCAGCAAGGAGGGCTTGGGTCTTGGTTTGCTCTTCACTTCTTGTCCTTTGTTTGTAGCAGCTGGAGCATCAATTCTGAAAGATAAGAGCTACAACTGGAAAACAATTCCATGGATTGTCTCTCCACTCCAATTTTCTTCTCTCTCTTGCCTGAACTGTGCTTAATTAGCATAATAATCCCACCTACTGCAGTAGAGGGAGGGGAGAAACAGTGCTAAGGATACATCTGCTCTGTGACTACAATTTAGCACTTCAAACAAAAATTAGCTCTGATGGACAACACAGTGTCAAAGGAACGATCCTGAATGGGCAGAAAACAGACAGTAAACAGAACAGGTCTTGCAGGAAGCACTGCCAACAGCCTTCAGTTTCTTGGTTTAGTTCCATCAGCACCCAACAGACATCCTGTGCTCCCGTAACATATGGAAAACTGACTCACCCCACCGGCTTCTTTGCAGGGGCGTTTGGACCCAACGCCTCAGAAGATGGTGGCATCCCCAGCCCTGTGCCATCTTTTTCTGCCTGCTCTGAAGAAGAGTCTCCTTGTCGCTGGCTCTCCTGCCCCAGCGGCACCGCAGCAGCGCCCCCCCTGTCCTCAGCAAGCACACTGTTGGCAAGAACATGAGCCTCGGAGACGATCACTTCTTCCCACTCTGTCTCCCGCAGTTGCCCTCCCCCAGGCACAGAGTTCAGCAGCTGGCTGACAGCTTCAGAGCTTTCCAAGGCAGACCTGGAGGCACCCTCACTAACAGCTGCTGGTTCTGGGAATATGGCCTGTTGATTTCTTTTAGCTGCTGGATTTTTTAGAGAGGTGCCTGAATTTGGCTCAGATTTGCTTTTTGGTTGCTTTTCCTAGAAATAAAGAGAGAGTCAGATTTCAGAGCTTTCACAGGTAAGTTAGTTCCCTTCACACATGCCAGGTTTGCTTTGGCCTACTTAATGCTGAATCAAAACACCAAAATCCTGAAGTGCTGAAGCAGTGAACTTTAGGAGAGCAGAAAGACATCATCTCCCACGACAGCAAAGTCCCTGTTAACATTTCATCTAGCCTCCTGGCCCTTCCTGTGTTATTCTTAGACACTGTTTACTTTGAAGAATCAGCCTTTCCTCAACTCCCTCAAATATCACCATTAGCATCAACATCACAAACTCACCCACCACTCTGTGTAACAAGGACCCACCTCCTACGTTCCCCTTTCATAGCTTCAGCTCTCTGAGGTTGTCTGTTCTTCCACACTATTAAGGAACTCAAGGGATAGAGAATTTGTATCTTTTGGTTACATTCAGAAGAGCCTAGATTTGAGTAAGTCAGGACAGAGAATTGCTCAGGAAGGCTTTTTGCCTTTAAGAAAAATACTGCCTTCTAGATTAAGGCTACAGAAGCCATGTGCTGGGGTCAATGAAGGTAGAGTGGAACACTGAATTGGTAACATGCAAAAAGATATCAGAAGTGGGACCAAGAATATCTGGCATGATGAACATCTAAGCTCCCTACATAGTTCATACTCAGAAGGATATTCTTGTTTTTTAAAAACAGACATCTTATCATCTAGTCCCTTTCACTTCTGAGGAACAGGAAGGTATGCATCTAACTTAGTATCTCTTCTACTGGTGTTATTACCAGTTAAAAAACCTGCTGGTACATGTTTTTCCCAAGGAATGACACCATAACAATAAGAGGAGCCGTTTATGCAAATGTGTTCCCAGAAGAGCAAGAATAAAACTGAAAGCCAGCAAAACTCCCTCTAGAAGCTTCCAGTTCTGATCAATGTAAGTGAGCCTACAGGGAGCAGGAGCAGGCATCCCATAATGGGGCAGAAACATGTTTTTGCAGTTAGCCACTACTGCTTTAGCAGGTTTAGAGAACAAATGCTGAGACATCATCACCACCATTGGAATCCTGCCATGGAGGAAACCAAACATCAGCTTAAACACGAGAGTTTGTCAGGTGGTTAAAAAAGTTCTTGCCCCTAAATGCTTAATGGATCTAGACGCAAAGCAAAGGAGGTTCAGAACAAATCCACATAAAGCCACTGAGCATCAGTGCAAATTTTTACACTGACAACATCCTTCAACTTGTGCCCAAGGAGCCCTGCTTCAGAGAGAAATTTATTAAACACATCTCTTCAGAGCTGACTAATTACCATGACATTGCCAAGGTTTAAGGAGCAAGTGCTTTTTGCTGTACACAGCTAGTACAGATGCCAGTAACTTAAGTGGAAACCTTAATTTGTAGAACTTCAGACACATATAAATTACCACAGAACAAATGGTTCAACCAAATCCCTGAGCTAAGCTAAGGCTGTAGCAGGAAGAACAGGCAATGCCTTCCAATCACAGGAACTATAATGCAGGCAGAGGGCCAGGAGAATGCGTGTCCTCTCAGTGAGGGAGTTACCAAATGCAGGCCCATCTATTCTAACTGATACCATTACAGGTGGTGTCCTTATCCAAGGTGTGGGGATTCTGGGTCTGTCTCACCTTGGCCAAGTGTCCTGCACAATGGTGACCTGCTCTAGAACACGCATTGGAACACGTGCAAGAATCAAATCTAACCTATCTGAGCTTTTGTGCCAGATCTCCAGGTCTAGAAATATCCCAGCTGTACACAAAACCAGCAGGTTTTGTCTCAACATCAGAGAAGGAAAAGCAAATTTACCTTTGGGATCCATTTCCCACCCAGGAAGTTCCCACATGTCGGGCATTTTGGTGGTTTATGTCTGGTGACATAAGTGAAGGAACAGCCAGGATTGGTGCAATTCCCATGTCCCCTGCGGGTATAGGTGGTTGTCTGAAACGAGAGTTGTCAAGAATCCCTCTAGAGAGCTGAAGCACACAAAGCTGTGCTCATTGCTCCCTTTTCACTTGTAAGCACTTTACAAACCTTATCCAGCCAATCATCAGCTCCCACTGTTACTCCTTTTAATAATCAACCACCACACAGCTGGATGAGTCAGCACTGTAACTGCTCCATCTAAATGCTCCATCTGTACAAGAGCCTCCATTACTACCAGAATTCAGATCAAATAGCAGAGATGAACCATGCATATGAGCCCTGGAGAAGCTCATCTTGTGTTTACAGTGATGTAACATTTCTCTTGCCAATATGAAGAAGTCCCAATAAGATGCTATAAAAATGATTCAAACAGCAATCCACATTGCTCATGTCAGCAGGGCAACAAGACTTGAAGACGTGAGGACTCATGTCAGCAGGGCAACAAGACTTGAAGACAAGCACTCACTATGTACAGGCAGTTTTCATTAGTGGTGTTGTATGCAGTGGTCAGATACTCCCTGGTGCTTTACTCTAACGTGCTGTGAACTACTGCAACACCAGCAGCACCATCAGGCACCATTTATCAAAACAAGTACAGCAGAACCCACCACCTCTGCCAAGACAACAGCATCAACACATGGAGTTTTTGTCAGTGTAGCACTTCTCAATATTCTGTACTCAACACTCCTGAGGGAGCTGCTGAGCAATAAGTCCTTAACGTTTTTTCCTAGAAATGCAAGTACTGCTGTCAAATAAATGAGACAATTTTAGGTAGATCCTTCTCAGGAACAAAATCCTGAGGTATTTTCATTCTCCCTAAGACACCTGGAAGAACATCATGCCATGTGCTGCTATAAATATCTGCTGTGTTCCACCAGCTGGAAGCACAGAGGACCTGGAAAATAGAATTTGATGCTAGCTTATACAACACAAGGAGCTGCAGTGCTGACTGCACAATGAAGTCCTACAAAGAGTACAGAAATCCAGGTGGCTGGAGTGCTTAGAGAAATAATACTATTCTTCCTCATGCAACAGGCCACACAATCTTTTACAAGGTTCTCACAACCTTAGGTCACTGCTTCTCTGCTGTCATGTGGCCAAAGTGACAGCCACCCAGGAAACTGGGGAGCTCCTGTCTTCCTGTCTCAAGAGCTGATTCTTGCTCTTAAAGGGAGGGACAGTGGCATTTTATGAAGACAAACATGCAACCGAGTAGAGAATGTAGATGGCCAGATGTGCTGTGACAGCATTAACTCCATCTGTCTCCAAGAACTCCTTGAAAAACAAAGCAGAAACAGGCCCCTGTAAGACACACTAGGAAGTCAGAGACCCAACCAGCACACACAAGGCATAAAACCAGGGACAAGAAATATATCAGCTCACTTGATGACTCCAAACTGGATTATCCCTAAGAGCTGAACCATAATCAAATACTTCTGACTCTAACATCTTCAAGACAAACCTCTGGTTTGTCTCAAAATGTATCCATACCTTAAAATGCCATACATGCCTCTGAACTTCTTACCAATTTAATTGACGCTGGGTTCTCCACCACAGAATGAGCTGGCAAAGGTAACATGATGAACTGTGCAGCAGGTGCAGAGGAGCTACTCTCTTCAGTGTTCTAAAATGAAGACAAAGGGAAAAAACATGCAGAAAACAGGAGACATGGTTACCTGTCCCCCACCCTCTCAAGAAAACTGCCACTGAACATGTTAAGGACTGATGAGACCAGAAAGCAGGGAAGAGAAGTGATCATTTCCAAAGCAATGGCCTTATCAGATCTACTCTGGAAATTACCCCAGCTTGCCATTGAAAACAGCAGGTCCATTGCTCCACAGAACAAGGTTTTCTATAACCAACCCCTAACACCTCAACTTAAAAGGACTCCCCTTCTACCTCTCTGCAACCAAGAAAACAGCTACCAGGAGCACAGAGGTAACATTTTTCTCCCCAAAATTTTGTAGTCCAACTGTAGAACCCACCCCAATTATAAGAAAAAAGTCAAAACATCAGTCATTTCAAGGCACAAGTGCTATCAGCACGTGGCTCAGTCAACCTGCCAGCAGTGATGCTGCCACCACCGAGCTGCAGAAGCTGCTGTTGCCCTCATTGCCAAGTCCACTTGGTGGGTAACACTGGATCTCCTGCAGCCACCAAGGATCAACAGCACCCGGACATTTCAGGGGAGATGCCAACAGGAGTCAGAGTGTCACAACTTACCCTCCCAGTCACCACGGTCACCACAGACACAGCATCTGAAACCTGGGGAGGAGCCACCGCGATGTCTGCAGAGCTGCTCACCAGGGTCTCCTCAATCACCACCCGGGCTGTCTGGTACGGCTGCCCTTCTATTTCCAAAGAAGCCTCATCCAGGAGGAGATCTCCAGCCACCTTCTCTGTCACGGGCCCAACATAGTGAGAGAGAACCTCTGAGGCAACCACTTCTTCCACAGCATCTGGTTGAGCAAAGGAGGTGGCCTCTTCTGCCAGGCCCTCAATGAAAAAAAGAATGCCGACATGGCTGGAGTCCACGGAAAGGATGTTCTGCACGGCATCACGGGAGACGTTGGTGGAAGCAGTTATCCCTTCAGGTGCTGCCTGACCCTGTGTCACACACAGCTCCAGTGACTGCCTGCTCCTGTCCTCTTGAAGAGTGCTTTTGGGAATAATTATATAATCGGAGCGAGGAAGGATCTTACGGAAACCTGGAATGTCTGGAACTACCGCGGTCCGAGCGGACACCTTGGAGTTCTGTTGGCAAAAACAGAGTGTGCAATAAATGAAAAGAAGAAGAGATTCCATTCTCAATCCTGCCATTTTAGTGCCTAAAGTTCAAATGGTTTCCTGAAGTAGTTTGTTGGGAATTTCTCCATGTGACAGAGTTGGCAGAATACCTCTCAGCCCTGGTTTTATCATCCTCTTCCCCATCAACCACCCTGATGACATGACACAGAAATAACAACCATCCCTGTCAGTGGGCACCAGATTCATTCATCTTGGATTTCCAAACGTTGTTCCTTGACTGAACAAATGCAAAAGCAAGAGGCAGTGGCCTCACACACCACTGCTTTCCAGCCTGTCCTAAGCAGAAACACACACTGGAATCTGCAGTTACATGATTCCTCCCCCCCCAGAGCTGTGTAAGCACCGAAGTGACTCTTCACATGGCAAAGAACTGCCAGGACAACGACTTACCGGGTCTAACCCCTCTTTCTCTAGCTTGGCTTTCTCCAAGTAGTAGCTTTTCTCAGCCACGCTGAGCAACCTCCAACTCTCACTGATCTTTTTGTTGATCTCAGATTGAGGGAGGTGGGGAAGCTCTTGCTGTACTTTCAAGTAAATATCATAATAGTAGAGGAGGTAAGCAGATCTGAAACGCAACCAGAAACATTAACCTCATGCCACATAAATTCCTTTGGAAAAAGAAATCCACAAGGTTTATGTTGGTCTCAAGGTCAAATGACAAGCACATGACATTCAGTTCTACTTGTACATGCATTCTTTTAACCAAATGAACACTCAGACTCTGAGGAGACCCTCTGCAGCAAGGAGAAAGTACCTAAGGTAATTTATTCTGGGGGAAACGAACTTTAGACCCAGCAACAGCAGGACCAGTAAAGACAAGGATGTCAAAGCAGGCCCCAAGTGACAAGTCAGTGTTTGATATAAGATGTTTTACACTCTGAAGTGTTCCAAGTGCACTGCAAAGCTCCTTCTTATCACAAACAAGGAAAGCTTCTTAGCAGGAGCTAAATGAAGACAGAAAGAACCTACCTGGGCTTTTTAGCTTTTTCTCCATGATCACCAGCACTTTTGTATTTCTTTTTCTTCTTAGATGGCACTGGTGATGCATAAGTGTAGGTGCCCTCTATCTCCTCCATTACCACAGTCACTTCAGTGCCATCATATGGAGCCTCCATTGCTAAAAACACACATTTTATGTTATGCACTTGCCTAGCACCGTGTTTCTCCCAACAAAGGCTCCTAATCACCTCTGTAACCTGCCAGCATCATTGGCCTGCACGTCTGGCTGTAACTAACCAAGATAACAACATGTTAGCTCTTTACTTATTTTTAGAAGCAAACACCTTCATTGCTATGACCTCAACACCACCGGTTCGGTGCAGACACCCTGCAGCTCCACCTGGGAACCGCGGTTTCCCGGGATCCCCTCAGCCCGGTGACCCAGCACTGCCTTGAGGCCCAAGCACTGCGTGTCCGGCCCCACCGCGTCCCGGCAGCAGCGGTACCGGGCCGCACAGCACGGCAGCCTCATCATCTCCTCACCCACCACATCCCCCGGGGCTCCCCGCTCAGTAACACCGAG